GTAAGAAAGAAGCCTGAAGGGACTGATTAGAATAGTAGTGGATAGGTATTGATGATTTTGTCCTCCTTATAAAACAATTTTCAAGTCAAATACTTAATTATTTGTTGGGTTTTTTTAAATTACCTTGTTGGTTCTATCAAAGTATTCTCCGTCATCACCAAGTGTGATGATCCAAATGCAGGACATACTGTGCCTGAACAAATAATGGCTTCTTTTTTCTCTTTACAGAATAGATTTGAACTCTCAAATGTCTTCTACCAAATGTGAATCATACAGCTTAGAGTTGGGATGTACTGCAAAATTTGAGTACTGATGCTGGGTGCAAAAAGTATAAAAGATAGTTTGCTTTGTGCTGTCTCAGGCACTGTGTATTTTGACAAGTAGCAAAGGATGCGAAAATAACTTTGTGGCTCATAACCTTGGATTTGTGGAGCCATAGTCTTCCCCGAATAGAATGGATTTAGGCTATACTGTATCTGATTTGCCTCTGGCTTGAAATAGGTAATCATCTTTATTATATTGCAAGGGAGTGCTTATTTGCAAAATTAATGCACAATTATCTACAATAGGCAGATGCAAGTTGATATATTCCAGTGTATCTGGAATATTTCCAGTCTTCTGGCTGCCTGTGTCCATGTTAGCCTGCGTCAGCTTCCTTGTGTCAGCAGCACTAAAAGGAGAATCAAATCTAATCTCTTGTGATAGAGAATAACCTTAACCTAATGCTGCCAGATAGGACAGAAGAAATTATTTGAGGCTTTTTTTGGAAAAATGATAGGGTTATCCAAGCTCTAAAGGATTCATTGCTTTTTCGTGGAACTACAATGAAACAGCGTGTCTCAAACATGCTGCTTGCTGTGAGAAGGGACGGGCTTGCATGTGGACAGTACTAGGTGCATTGCAGATTTACTTCAGAATACATTAAGATTTCTAGCAACTGTCTCTTAGGCTGGTATCGATTTTGTATTTCTCAAGATACTTGGCAGTTGTAGTTTTATGGTTTCCTATAGGTGTGGAGTTTCGTAAGTGTAGTGGAGTGCTCATAAGAGTAACAAAAAATAGATCTGTTCTTTCTTAATGACCAGCAGGCTTCTGCAGTTTTCTTTTACTTCTAGAGAAAATGTGAATAAAGTGTGGATAAAGGAATTGCTGTGAGATCTCGAGAAAGGAATGATATTAGTGTGTACACATTTAACTTGAAAAACTTGGTTTTATTCTGTTGTCTAGGAACAAGCTCTTTGGTCTAGAACTGGTTGCTAACAGGATTCTGTATTTCATGGTTTTGCTGTCTCTGTTGTTAGGTAGTTCTTTGCTGCTGTCCTGGAGTGTATGTGCTTATGGGGAATGGGACATGTACTATAATCCTAGGCAATTTTAGTACACTTAGGTTTTATTTGGACAATTGAAAGAAAATCGTATGTCTGTGAGTGCTACTGAACTGAAGAGATTTAATTCTTAGGAACCTAGTGTTTCAGGTTTTTTCCACAGAGGTGATGGGGATATATCTTGGCTCAAAGTCTGTAAGGCTGGGCTGGTGCACATGATGCAAACTTAGCTGAGATGAGTTACCTCAACGAGCAAGTCTGTGAGGGGAAAAGACAGGCCGAAGTTGCTGGCTGTGTAAGTGCAACAGGTACGGTGTATTTTTTGTGAGGTGGAGGCTGTGGGTACTGTGTTGTGCAGAGCCGACATTTTCAAGTCACTGGAGGTCACCTGTGCAGAGCACCAGTTCCAAATTCCAGGTAGGAAAAGGCTTGAGTTCCTTCAATTGAATTGAAGTAATCATAGATCCTGCATAATAGAATGCAGTATACTTGGACATGGGTTGACTCTCAAGGAGCTAGCTAGTTAAGGGGTTGATCTGGACCACAAAAAGCTGTGTATAAGCATATTCACTGATACGGGAAGATAAGTTTTCTTTAAGTAAAAATAAGTAGAAGTTGCCACTTAAAGTGAGATTGTGAAGCCTGGAAATTTGCCATGGCATATGTGTTCTTGTGCGTACTTGATTAGGGACAGAATATACTAGTCAATACTAGATTTGAGAGGGGTTTTTTTCAGCTTGTCAGAAGACTTTTGATGAATATGGCACACAAAATAGGTTTTCCATTTCTATGAGCAACAAGTAATGATTTGTTGCGATGGTTGACTTTGATACATTTCCTTCTACCTTCAGTGTACTTTTAGCTGTGTGAATAGCGTTTTTTGATGATAGAAATCCATATTAAGTTTGCCTGTAAGATTCGCTTATGGAAAGGCTCATGGTGTAGTGCACAGATGTATAGTAGGTATTTCAGGGCACCGTTTTCAGCTCCTGTGAGCAATGTAGTCTTTCATTAGACTTTAATTTCAGCTTCTTCAGGTGAAGACATTTTTACCATAGTGTGGCAGCTGCCAGTAAGTTTAGGGTTTTTTTAAATTTTCTTCATTAGTCACTCAGTTTTTGCTCTTGTCATGATACTAACTTAGCAGGAAGATTTCTGCCCTTGTTAGAGGCTGTTTGATTCTCTTGCCAAATCTCCTAAATAACATGCTTCTGTTGTACATATTGCTCTTGCTCAGTTGTATTTTTTATTCTTTATCTTTACTGGAAGAGAAGAGAGAAGCAAGGTTGTGGTTATGGACACAAAATAGAAAATAACGTACGAGCAAGGAAGTTATTCGTTGTCAATCTTCAAAAAAAGTATTTAGAAACTTATCTGACAGGAGTTCATTCTACTCGGCAGTGGTGAGGCCACCCCTGGAGTGCTGTGTCCAGTTCTGGGCTACCTAGTGCAAGAGAGCTGTGAATGTACTGGAGAGAGTCCAGTGAAGGGCCACAAAGATGATTAAGGGTTGGTGAAAGGAAGATGGAGCCAACTTCTCAGTGGTGCCCAGTGGCAGGACCAGAGGCAATGGGCACAAACTGAAACACAGGAGGTTCCCTCTGAACATCAGGAAACACTTTTTTATTGTGAGGGTGACTGAGCAGTGACACAGGTTGCCTAGGGAGGTTGTGAAGTCTCCATCCTTTTCAAAAACCATCTGGACACAGTCCTCGGCAACCTGCTTGAGGAGGGGGATTGGACGGGATGATCTCCAACCTCAGCCCTTCTGCGATTCTGACTTACTTTGTCAGTGAAACATCTTCCCTCCTCACCTTCCCTATTGCCAGGCAGTTAAGCATAGTAAGTTGTTGATACTGGTTGTGGTACAGTACACGTTGAGGAAAACTTTTGGTGGGTAAAATTGCCAGAATGACCAAGTAATAGAAGTTGTGCTAAGTACTAATGAAACTGGTTTCTGAAGGTAAACCTGAGATTATTCCTTAGTTTGCCAGGAATTTTCTGTATACACACCCAGGTTAACAGCATGTTACCATGTTACACAGTAACTAGACATCCTAAAGTCTTATATTGAACAGGTTAATTGAGGTAGTGTTGATTCAAGCTTGTTCTTTTCACCAAGCATACAACTAGCCCTTACCACCTTGGGGGAAAAACTAGCAAAATACAGAAATCCTTCTCTTTGTTGCTGGTTGGCAGTCCTAGCTTCCACGTGATAAACCGATGGGAAGTTGGGAAGCAAGCTGATTTCCACAGTTGCCTTAATGGAATTTATGTACAGAATACTTGAATAGCAGACTCTTTGTTTAGTGTCCCCCTGCTCCCCTCACTCTTTATGGTTTGGGTTGCTTGTTCCTGAGCAAACTCTTTCTGCTTGAGTGTAGCTTCTTGATGAAATCTTTGTTCTGGTATCTGTTCTAAAACTTGGGCTAGAAGTGAATCAATTATTTGCCACCAATTTCCTAAAGTAAACTAATAACTGATGTCCAGAATTAGAAGGGGTAACTAAGGTGGTGTGCAAAATGTGAGTTCTGTATTTTAGAGTTTGTTTCTTTGTGAACATCTCAAGTTATGTAGTAAAACTTGGTTTGATCCAGCTTGGATTGGATCCTGTTATTGGTGCCTACTTTAGAACACAATGTTATTTGCATCTTCTTTTTAAAGTGGTAGGCTGTCACAATTTGTAAATCCAGTCCTGGTCTTGAGGCTGTTTATATTATAATCTGTGAAGCAGAAAAGAGTTAAACTAAAAAAGGCAACAAGAATATTTAAAATCCCTTTGGGAGAAGCACTGTTTATATTATCTTAATTTCTTCCATCCTGGGTCTAATAATTCTGGCGTAGTAATTTTTTCCTGATAAATAGTCTGAATAAGAGTATCTTCCTCCCTCCCTCTTCCCTTACTATAAATTTCTGACTTAGGACTGAAGTCACTTAAATCAATGTAGCATTATTGCTTTAAATGTTTGCATTTGTGCTTTGCTGCCTTTTTAGGCATAAATCAGGATTCATAATACTGTTCACCTACAGTAGTCTCAAAGTCCTAAAATTAACTCTTTCAAGATGTTGTGAAGAATGAGCAACAACCTGAGTTGTTACATAGTACAGTGCCATAAGTCTTCTCTCTGCACTAGAGGTAAATGTCTTTTTCAGGTCATGCCCAAGGTCTGTAAGAAAACTTGCAGGGTAGACAGAGTATAGAAGTCAGGTTATAGAAAGTGCTCTTTTAAGATCAAGGCATCCTATTCCCATGTAAATAGAACACTAGGTCTGCATTTTGTGAATGTTGTTTACAGAGGTTACTTAAGGTTTGATGGAACTCACCCTTCACTAAACTTCGTAGTACCATAGAAATCGAGTTGCAGAGTCTTGCACGAAAATACTTAAAATGATTTTGATAAACAAGAAAAATAAACTGTTCTTAAAAGTTGTTTATTCAATGGTTCCTGAATTTTAAAACAAAATTTAATTTTTCTCTGTTTATCTCAGAAGCAACCTGTGTGTTACTGACAGTGGATGAACGGGATAGCTTTGTACACTGTTTTACTGATAATTAAAATACTTTTATTATGGACTTCTGTTACTAAATATCAAGAAAATATTTTTCTGTTTTAGGACAGATTCTCTAGGCTCCTTTTGGTTATAAAAAATTTTAATTTTCTGTTTTAGGTGTGGAATATCAAACAGATGATTAAATTAACACAAGAACATATAGAGGCACTGCTAGACAAATTTGGAGGAGAGCATAACCCACCATCGATATATTTAGAGGTAAGTTTACATTCAAATGAATGTGGTTAGATTAATGATGTGTTATCTTAATCTTATATGAAGCATCTTAAGTTGAAACTGAGAATACCTGTAGTAAAAGAGAATATTCTACTAGTGCAATAGAAACGTAACCCTTTCCCTGGAGATAGAAAGGAACTGTATGGGATTCCTGATACGCATCAGTAGGGGAAGATCGATGGCATGGTCTAATAGTTATGTTGGTGCAATTGAAATGTAAAGCATCCTTTTTAGGTGCTTAGGAAGATTGTGTCTGTATAATAAAAAAAGACATGCTGTATTGTTAAAAGCAAATATATACACATGAAAACAACTTATAAGACTAACATTGCCTTTAAAGCAGTTGACTTCACAAAAAATAATCATGTAGAATCCAAAAAATGATATTAGTAGAAGGGAACTTCTGAACGAAATATATAAAATTGTAGGGTGGAATGATATTTTTAAGCTGTTTAATTTGTAAACTAACTACAAATTAGATTTCTGTATTCTTTCATTACTCTAGATTCATAAAGTTGCATAGATGTAGGACCATTAAGAGCATAAAAAAGGACTGCATGCATAAGTTACCTCTATTAGGAACTGAATGAGTATCACTTGGTCCAAACCCTGCCCTCTTTTTGGTTCTCTCAGGTGTTGAAATAACTGGAGGTCAACCAAATTTCTTTTGTAGGCTTTTTAATTGTAATTGGTGCCTAAAGGCACTGGGTAATTAAAAAGAAAGATCTCATTATTTGAGATACTTCTAGCTTTTATCTTAATATGTCAGAGCAGGGCACTAGCTTGATTATACAAATATTGACATAACATCCTTAACAGTTAAGGTCAAATGAGGCCCTCTGTAGTTGCCTTACTTATTGCTAATGTGAAATGGGAGTATTGAATGAGTGCTAATCACTATTTTAACCACTCAAAGGTATATAAACGAACCTCTGTTTTCGCATGAACCAGTTCATTCCATATGTCTGGATTTAATATTGCAACATGTGTGTTGGTTTCATTAGATTGTGTATCAAATTGCAATAATAATGAGCTTAATCTGTGCTAAGTGTGGATTTCAGGTAGTGAAATCATTAGATCACTACAGCCATTTGTCATTTGTATCTAAATTAAAACTGAGATCCCTACACTGGGAGCTTTTTTATTATTCTGTAGTTCATTGATAGGGAAGAGGGCATTTGCAGTTGTAAATGTGTACTGGGAAATGATTACGATAGTGTAGAGTATGGTAAGTCTGAAATAGTTGGTGACTACAAACCATGAAGCTTAAAGTAGATTTGCAGGTTCGATGGTTCCGTGTGCTGCTGAGATGAAACTGCAACTCTGGCTCATCAACGTGGTAGGGAGGCCCTGCAAGACAGAGCAGGGTGTCACTGCTGCAGTGAGGTGTGCTGGATTGTGAAGCGGGTCTTGTGGCAAGCGATGCTGGTACTGTCTAGGGAGCATTGAGCTGTTGGGAGGAAGACGGAAGTGACTGGGATTCTGCTTTTCCAGTTGAATTATCCCATGAGAGAGGAAGTCCTGTGAAAAGAGCCTACCGTTGTTGAAAAGCCTTACTTTTCCCAGCTCTTTGCTATGTGGTTCCTTTATTCAGGTACTTGCAGTACCAGTAGTGGCTAAGCCACTTCAATCACTGACCTGGAAGGAAAAGTATTCTGGTTTTGTTGGATTAGTTTGCCGTCCATTTAGTAGATTGAACTTGTTCCTGATGAAGTGTCCAGTGAGTCCCAAAGCTGTGCTTAAGGTTAGGGAAGGGGAAGAGCTTGCAGCTGTGAGCCAAGAACCTAGAAAAAGGGGTGAGAGAGGAGAGTAACTTTCTATTTGGATGGTCATTAGCTTAAATTAGATCATCCTCAGGTGGATTGATTGAAGTGAATAGGATTAAATGCTGCAAACCTGTCATTTGTTTAATGTATATATTTTCTGTGGTAAACTGAAGTCTGAAGGAAAGAAAAAGAAGAAATGTATTACAGAGTACCTGATACAGTCAGAAGCAAGATTACTGTTTACCCTTGACTGTTCATTTCAACCCAGCAGCAGTTGTCTAGTGCATCCTTTCTGTGCCTTTCCCACCTTTTTGGCTACTTTTGGCTTGGCAAGAACAGGGCTTGCTTTCTATTGTCAGAGTTTACCTGAATCTAATCTGTCATTGTTAGAGCAATGTTTTGACTTTTTGTATTCCTCCACCTGTCAGAAAAAGGGCCAGAACAACCCAGGTTGAGGCATGAAAGGACAAAGGTATATGTAAAAAGTTCTGAATGTAGTGTGATAAAATGTGGAAGAACACATTTGCTTCTAGGAAATGCGGAACTAAGAAAATACGGTAGTTTGGTTATTTATAAAAAGAACAGGAGAGTACATAGAATACATGTGAGTAGCTTAAGTGGTTCAATAGATAACTTGTCTGCCTGACGTCTGTCAGAAATAGCAAACTGCCTTTGTACAGAGCTGCTGTGTGATATGGGGCCTGTTGCTCAAGTTCCATACCTGGGCATCATTGCTGACTTCTGTGCAAAAAACCAAGCTTTCAGGTCTAGGCTATGTCTAGGCCTTGATGCTATGGGCTGTGTACTATCTCCAAAGTGCTTGAACAGGAAGGTAAAGTAACTTATATTCTGTCCATCCTCTTCTGACTTTTTTATTTTGATTGTTTTGTTGAGAGTCTCATTTCTGGCTGTAAAGTGCGATATTGCCCTGCTTTTACCCAGAATCTGTCTGAGTAATTTTGCTAGTCTGTTACTTGAACTGCATCACCCTTCCCTTTGTTTCCTTGGAATCACAGAATAGTTGGGATTGGAAGGGACCTTTAAAGGTCACCTAGTGCAACCCCACTGCAATGAGCAGGGACATCTTCACCTAGATCAGGTTGCTCAGAGCTCCATCCAACGTGACCTTGAATGTTTCCAGGGATGGGGCATCTACCACCTCTCTGGGCAACCTGTTTCAGTATTTCATCGCCCTCATCATAAAAAAATTTCTTATATCTAGTCTGAATCCACCCTCTTAGTTTAAAACCGTCACCCCTTGTCCTATCGCAACAGGCCCTGCTAAAGAGTTTGTCCCCATTTTTCTTACAAGCCCCCTTTAAGTACTGAAAGGCCTCAGTAAGGTCTCCCTGGAGCCTCCTCTTCTCCAGGCTGAACAACCCCAACTCTCTCAGCCTTTCTTCACAGGAGAAATGCTCCAGCCCTCTGATCATCTTCATGACCTCCTCTGGACTTGCTCCAACAGGTCCATGTCCTTCTTGTGCTGAGGACCCCAGAGCTGAAGGCAGTACTGCGGGGGGGGTCTCACCAGAGCGGAGTAGAGGGGGAGAATCCCCTCCCTCGACCTGCTGGCCACGCTGCTTGGGACGCAGCCCAGGGTACAGTTGGCTTTCTGGGCTGCGAGCACACATTGCTGGCTCATGTCCAGCTTTTCATCCACCAGTACCCCTAAGTCCTTCTCAGGACTACTCTCAATCCCTTCATCCTCCAACCTGTATTGATACCAGATTTAAAATCCTTCCACTGCTCTGATCTCTTTATAAAATGTGAGCAACTGTTAAGGACTTCTGTAGATTGTGCCTGTTGATCATCTCCTGAGTGCTATCAGCAAACATGTTGTCTGCTTCTCTTAGCAAAAGTTGGAATTAGCCAAAGCTAATTGCTAGGTAAGTACCTGCAAATGAACGCTTTTGCTTTCACCTATATTGCCTTTCCCTGTTGTAAACATCTAGTTTTATTGTAATGCTTTCTGCAAACCCATGGCTTTTTGTGTACCTATGAAAAGTTTGACAGCTATCCATCCATCTTCTGGTGTGTCGAGTTTCAGTACAATAGGATTTCTTTGGTTCTTTTGTGCTCCTGTCTGGCTTTGTACCTTTCATTTTTTTATGCATCTTACTGCTCGCATTCACAGAAATTACAGCGCCCTGTACGCTGGCTCCTGGTCTGTGAAGGAGCTGCCTCTATAGACCTGTCAAGTAAAGTTGTGGTTGAACCTGGCAACAAAATTGCCTTTCAATTAAAAGTGGAAAGGAAGGGGTGGGGGGAGCAGAAGTGCGCATGGGAAACCTGAAGAATGGAACAAGAAAATTAATTCTGGAAATTGAGCATTCAAAGGATACGGTAAGATTATTTGTACATTGAATATAAAACATACACCTCATTTAAAAATAAAAAGGGATTTATGCCCTAGTTACAGTTGCTCAAGAAAATAGAAGTTTTTGCTTCCGTGCTCATCTGAGAGTGAAAAGACAAAATTTTTTTTTTAGATTTTTTTTAACTTTTAATTCTGGGGAGGGTGTCAATGCGTTTCACATCAAAAGAACTTTAAAGCTGACAGCTGTTGTTGCAGCCATCATTTCAGGTTTCATCAACTGACTGTGAAAGAGGAATGGATTTCTTGAAATATCACAAGTGATTGACGTGTGCTATGTTGACTTCGAAATATATCTAATTATTCCTGCAAGAGGGAGTACTCGTGTTCAAGGGTATCTCCCTGCCTTGATCCATCACTCATCAGTGGTGGTCTTAAAAAGGTGACTGGAGCACGGGGAGCAGGACGTGCAAGCCTGGACGGGCTACTTTGTGTGCAGCTGCCTAGGAGGGAAAATGTAGCGTGAAGCTGGAGGACAGCGGATAGCTTGTCTCTCTCCTCTCAGGGCAGGAAAGTAGGGGCTGAGGAAAGAAACAACGAACAGAAGAAAAAAAGAAAGAACATTTGTCGTTAACCACACATTTTCAGGTTTTTTGTGATTGTTATAATCAGTAATAGCTTCGGGAATCTTATCAATGTTCTCTAATATGATTACAAGAAAAACTTTTCTGTTTGTTCTGTCTGGAAGAAATAATAAATGTAGTAAGCAATGACTGTATTGAAATCTAAAAATGACTTGCAGCTAAAATTCTTTCTTAGGTAGTCCTAGTTCTTAACTTATTCTGTCCCCTGTGTGTGAGCATGTATCTCAGATCTGACAGACCCCTGGAAATCACTGTCAA